CCAATTGCAACATGGAGCATGCCATGGAACGAAGTGGGTGTCTTGCGCTTCAAGGCGCGCACAGAACCGTGTTCGAATGGCCCGATTTGCACTGACATGTATTGCGCACGCGGCCATCACTGCCCATTGGATCCATCTTGCCAGCGGCGCGATTGTCAGTTTCGTCGGTCCAAGTTTGGGGGCATGCATCTTAGCAAGGAAAAAATGAAAGCAGTGTAGGTGATCAATTACAGGGCCTAGTTGCTGAATGTATGCTAATATTGGCCACAGCAAACGCATGATCGAAGGTGTGGCCTTCCCAGAGTACATATAAGTCACTAGGACGTTTGTCTACCAACTGAGTTACAGTATAGGCTACGATGATATCAGCTGTTTTACAGAGGAATTAGGTCAGAATGTACTGTATCTAAATATTTGCTGTCTTAAAATATAACAAATATGTGACTGCGGTTTGAGTCCAGTCTGCAGGGTTTCTGACAAAAGCCGCCGAATTCCATCATTGAACCGACTGTACCAGCTGGCGAACGTTCACCACCAGCATTCTGTCGATAGCCAGGTGGGGCCGGTTGGTCGCCAGGCCTGGAGGTAGCGTGCAGAGGCCTGGGCGGCCACCTAACCACGTATGGCATTGCGCCAGACGTACGAGACAGCCATAGAAATTTTTCGGGATATTACATGGGATAATGCAAAAGTGCATGGCACCAAAATGACGTTCAAGTTGTACGGGGTTTTGCCAAAAGATGCCACCAGTGTAGCATGCTTCCGACTGGCCCAGCTGACAAGGCCTTGTATCAGCTGTGTGCCCTCCGCCTAATCAGTTAGGTCCTGCTGAACAAACCCCACCAACGTTGTCATCAAGGCCTAGCTAGCCGAGCCTCGCACCAGCACCGTTCACCGAGTTGCGCGTAAATTGTGCGCCGGGTGGCAATTGGGTTTTCGGCAAGGGAAATATGCATCCCGACACCGTCACCGACCAATGGAAATCCGGTCGAATCTAGATGCTGACGCCGAACGAAGTCGCGCGGGCTCATCTGCAGAATGCGTCGAGCTGAAGACAGCGTGTCATTGTAACTGTAGCGGGCGATGGGTCCAACGTATCAGCACCAGTGCTGGCCTGAATAGGTGCCAGTACAGATTTTTGGTTAGCGTGACATCGAAGCTGATGGATGTCCGCGTTGTTGGATGGCCAGCCTGCCTAGGCTATCGCACAGTGGGGGAGGGACTTGTAGGGACAGCCTCTGAGTGAGGATGTCCTCACCAGGCGCTGTCCTCTCGTCAGCAAAGGGTAGGCCGTAAACGCACGTTCCCGGGCCAGCCACCTGCCGTGGACATTCACAGGCGGATATCCATGAGCTATCAACGCAGGAGGCTGGCCGTGGGAGTGAGTCTACGCTGATTGTCACGATCCCATGTTGAAGCTGCCGCGGTATCACGTGACCTCGTGATACCCTTGTTCCTTTCGTGCATCGGGAAGCCACGCTTTCTCTTTCTCTTGCTTTTTTGCGCTACGTCGTGTATCCAGAATCTAGCATCAACTTAGTTACTTCATCTCCTTCAAGAACCGTTCCGAAGCGCCCCCCGGACGCGAGATCTTCACAGGACAAGACCGTTGAGCTGGCACACGTCTTTGGCTGGCGCAAATGCTAAACGTCCCTACAGAATCCTCCTGGGCACCTCCTCATGCCCGGGAACGCTGCATTTCACCGCCACGGTCGGTGAATCTATCCAGCTCTTCCTTCCTCTAGACCCTTTTAGCAAAGCAGATGTACCAGTCGCTTGACACCAGCATTTTTAAAAGTCCGGCAGACCGGTAAAAAAAATCCAATTTAGCGAGCCACATGACCCAACCGGGGAACTTTTTCTTCATCAGTTAGTGGACGTGAACCGGAATAGAAGGCTACATAACCAGACCGTTTATGCACAACTCTAGTACGTAGCATGCATGTATCCTAG